TGGCCCAAGGACGAACCCTATTGAAATTGGAGATAATCGGTCAAAATTTAGATATAGCTCCCATATATAACTTCGTCCGATTTGCCTTTTATTGTGCACCAAACGTGTAATATCAGTCCGAATAGTATGGAATTTTGCACCTACGATCAGATTGGATCTGAAAATAAGTATGCCAAATTTGATCGAAATCGGTTCAGATAAAGCTATAGCTCCCATATATAATGTTCATCCGATTTGTTACTTTTGTCCTCCGCAGCCGTAATATGCACTCTGTAACAACAATATTTGGGGAAATATATCAAATACAGCTCAGAAATATATTTGCTAAATTTAATCGAGATCGGTTCAGATTTGGATATAGCTCCCATATATAACTTCGTACGATTTACCTTTGATTGTGCACCAAACGTCTAATATTTGCCCAAGTGGGATGAAATTTGGCACTTACGACCGAATTGAGTCCAGAAGCTAGTACGTCAAATTTGGTTGAGATCGGTTCAGATATAGATATAGCTCCCATATATACAGTTCATCCGATTTGTAACAACGATATTTAGGGAAATGTATCAAATACAGCTCAGAAATATCTTTGCCAAATTTTATCGAGATCGGTTCCGATTGGGATATAGCTCACATATATATTTTTATCCGATTTCAAATTAATTGTGCACCAAATGGGCAAAACAAGTCCGAATTTAAAAGATACAAATGCTTCGGCATATTTAGTCCTTTGAACTTTAAACTATAATTATAATCATAGCGTGTATGATAGAATTCTCCCATAAAAACTTTTAATTGCTCTACTAAATTAGCAAAGTGGTGTAGGGTATCATAAAGTCGGCCCCGCCCAACTTTAAGACTTTCTTTACTGGTTATAGTTTGTATTGAGTACTACAGCCTCTGACAAAAACTTGCATAAGAAGGTCCACGTCTTCGTATAGCCCCCATATAACGATGCCTCCTGAGATTCGGTATTTTGATGATTTTAGAGACATTATTTAAAGGAATTTTTTAATTATTTTGAAACGCGTAAAGATTACAGCAAGCTATGACGGACAATTGTCTATGTAGGTCCACATCTTCAATATTAATGATATTAGCGACATTTTTAACCGGAATTGCTTCAAATTTTGAATTTATAGTTCGTAGTGGGTATTACAGCCTATGAACAAATATTTCTAATGCTGGATCACGTCTTCGTAAAGTTCCGCATTGAGCGGTATATTTCGATGGATTTTTTGGAAATCTTTCAAGTTCCTTCAAAATGGTGGAGAACATTAAAAATTCGGACCGGCCGAGCTTAGCTGGTTTTTTTTATATTTTTTCTGCAACAGACTCATATATCTCTATGTGCCAACTTAATCAAATCGAACCATTTTCTTTTGATTGAGCTTTTTCTTTCAAGATCCCCCACTGTCACCTTTCTTTGTATACAAAAAATATATATTAGAATGTAAAGCGTATGCCATGTTCGCTGCAAAGAATGCAAATGAATTCTGTTTTACCACAAAACAAAAGTGAAAACTTTTTTGAAATCTTTTTTTTTTACAGACGGAAAACATCTATTTTCCTCTGAAGTTCTATTTTGATTTGGTGTTTGTTTTAAGTTAAGCATTTTTATTCGCCAAGGGAATACCGGAAATGTTACACGAAACCGTGGCGACTGCGGCGGCAGCGGTCATTGTGTTACAATTAGAACATTCTTTTGTTCGATCGAGAATTTGCCAAAATGTCAATCAAAGCAGCGTGTTCGGTGTTTGGGGTCAAAATGCAATGCACCACCACTACCATCAGAAAGACTTCTGACGTTGGCAGAAGTAAATATTTAATTTAGACCAAAACATGGCGGGATGAAATGAGAAAATGTGTATTCTTAGACTTTAAAAGGGATATAAGAACGAGATTCAATTTTCAAACAATTTATATTTAAAACAAGTAGAAAAATAGAAGTTCGTTCTCTAATTTGGGTCGTTTTCCAATTTAAAGAGAGATGTGTCTATTCGCTCCTCATTTCGAATAATCCTATTTATTTGGCTGTAATCATTAGATGAAAATTCGCCAAGCGAAAATAGAAGGTCCACGTTTTGATTTAAGCCCCATATAGGTATGGTGGTCGGTTTACGATTGAATTCGCATATACCAGTGTGCAATACTTTGATTATCATTCAGAATTCCGAAAAAAATAATATCGCAAAACTTACTTAAAGATCGCATGCAATATACATATCGCAAGATATAATAAAAAATATTCAGATTTTTATTGACGTATTTTTTTGCGATTTTTTCAGATTTTATTCTTATTTTCCAAGAGCACACTCTGAATTGATGAGAATTCTTAAAATCCTGTCTGCGGTTCTTCAGCTATAAACATTTTAATTAACATCCTTTTTTTACATAAATAGATGTACATATATCCGATATCTTGGATATTAATACCAGTATAACGGTCAGAATTGACCATTCCATATATTTCCGATTTCGCCAGGATTAAAAATGTCCAAAGTTTGATAATAATTTTGGTTTTTTTATACCTTCAGTCATATGATACGGCCAAAATGTGCCTAATCGAAATATGGGTTTTAGACCCTAGGTCTCTTTGGACCAAATCCGTTTCAGGACATTTGGAGTCGATCTAGCGATGTCCTCCCGTCCCCTGGTCCTTCTGTCTGGCTGGCTAGCTGGATGGCACGACAATTCTGGACGGTAGTATCCAATTTTGATCCACACATGGTACATAGTCTTATTATTGTCAAATTTAGACCGAGTTCGGAGGCGGGTATTATCAGTCCAATCCTTCTAATACCTCCCCCACAAAAAGTAAAAATTTTAAAAGAAAAATATTTTACTGCACAGAAAGAGAAAGGATAACCCAATTTTGCTCCAACTTTGAAAATCCTACTTTTTCCATCAGTGCGAGGTCAGGTGCGAAAATGACCACTATCGGTCCACCCCATCAAGTACCTTCCCCACAAAGGGTCAAAGTTTGGAATAATTATAATTCTTTTAAAATGCGCTGTAAGAATCCGATTGTCTTTCAATTACATACATCACTATATTTTTATTAACTCAAGGTCTGGTGTTAAGGTGGAGTATATCGGTCCACTACTACTTGGTAGAGGTACAACCAATGAAGGACGAAATTTAAAAAAAAAAAATATTTTATGCACAGAAAAAGAAGCGATAATCCGATTTTGCTCCAACTTTGCAAATCCGACTTTTTCCATCAGTGCTAGGTCAGGTGCGAAAATGGACAATATCGGTTTACAGCATCAAGTACCTCCCCCACAAAGGGTAACAATTTTGAATAATTATAACATTTATAAATTCAAATTTCACAAATCCCAATATTTTTATAAACCCAAGATCTGGTATATATTGCTCAACTTCTTCTGGTGCCTCTCCCACAAAAGGTCGACATTTTGAATATCCATTAAGCTCATAAAAGGGCGAAATTAATATCTAATTCCATTTAGACTTGGCATATCTGAATATTTCTATCAACACAAGATCTGCTATAAAGACGGTAGAGATCGGACCATTCCTTCTGGTACCTCACCCACAAAGGGTCAAAGTGTTGATTAACCAAAACGATTACAAAATCCAAAATAAGCATCCGATTCTCTTCATATTTTACACATCCCATTATTTCTACTAACACGGAATCTGGTGTGAAGATGGGATATATTAATCCACTTGATGCTGATAAAATGCGAAATTAATCTCAGATTCCACTCAGACTTTGTACATCTCAATATTTCCATCAACACAAGATCTGTTATGAAGACGGTAGAGATCGGACCATTCCTTCTGGTAACTCCCCTACAAAGGGTCAAAGTTTTGAATAGCCAAAACGATTATAAAATCCAAAATAAGCTCCCGATTCTCTTTATATTTCACATACCTCATTATTTTTACTAGCACAAGATCTGCTGTGAAGATAGGATGCATTGGCTAACTCCTTTTAGTACCTCCCCCACAAAGGGTCAAAATAGCCATGAAGCTCATAAAACGCGAAATTAACATCACTCAGACTTGATACATCTCAATATTTCCGTCAACTCAAGATTTGTTATAAAGATGGCAAATATCGGTCCACTCCTTCTGGTACCTCCCTCACATATATGCGAACCCCTGCTGGTACCTCACCCACAAAGGGTCAAAACTTTCAATAATTTTGCCATAACTTGCGAAACAAGTCAGCGAATCTTTACAACAAAATATTTACCTAAACCAGAAATCTGAGTTTAATAGCGAATTTATGAATATTTCGGTCGACTATATCTGGTACTTCACGCTTATTTTGACTTTTTCTATAAGTTATAACATATCTCATATAAAGTATCCAATATAGTCCAAACCTGGCACATCGCAATATTTATATCATATTTATTTAGGTTCGATATCAAATGGTCCATTTGTTCCATTCCTTCGAAACCTACTCCATAGAGGGTCGACAATTTGAGTAATCTTAACAGAAGTCAAAATACAATTAAATAATCTTTTAGGGGGAGGTACCGGCGCGATATAGTCCATCTTTGAACTCATTCTAAGTTTTATAATAGTATTACGAAGTACTAAGTTTGGATGAAATCGGATACACCCTTCGAGAGTTATCGTAACCAGCAGTCAGCCAGAAATACAGACAGACGGATGGACAACCCTTGTTCGACACCAAAGAAATAAACATTCCATAAAAAAGTGCAAAATATATCCACCTAGTAAGCATTTTGGAGGGGGCATCCCCTCCCGTGTACGTCCCTAGCAACAGCTACCTACATGCCAATTTGTAAGATTGTTACTTTAGCCGTTTTTTTCTGAGCGTTAATGGAGCCATCAGTCACTCTGCTTTTACAATTTTAAATAGGTGTATAGTTTTTGAACCGATATTCCGACCTTTCCTGTGGAGGCATAATTTCTGATATTCCAAACAATTCCACCCCATCTTTTACTCCAACAATTACAATAATTTTTCTCCTTCCATTTTTTTTTCTCATTTCCAGCCTCATTATCGAACCGAACAATCAAACATCCACCAGCAATGGCAGTGTGGCGATACGTGTCCAACGTGACGCCCGCCTAAAATCCTTCGAACCCATTGTCTTGGACATCAATAATGTAACGGTGACAAATGTGCGCGTTACACGTGACACCTATGCCGCGAATCTGATGCAAGCCGAGGATGTTGAATTCGAGGGTAGCTACAATGGCGACTACTCTGCGTATGTTATCACACTGGCCAAGTCGCTGGCTGATGAGAGAGATGTGCGACTGATTGTCAGCATGGATTTCGTGAGTCAAATTACGGATACACTGCAGGGAGTCTATAAGACTAGCTACCTCGATGTGAATACCGGAAGGAAAGAGTAAGTGTGATTGTTTTAAGGAGAGAGAGAGAGGGGGGGAATTTTGGACCGAGTTTTGTATTGTCCTTTTTGCAGGTGGATGATCAGCACCCAATTCTCGCCCATTGATGCCCGTCGTGCATTCCCCTGTTTCGATCGTCCCGATATGAAGGCGAATTTTACAATCAGTATTGTTAGACCCACCCGCACAGCCATGGCCCTGTCCAACATGCCCGTGGATAATAGCACGTAAGTTCTGGCTCTTTTTTTTTTGTTTGGGAGAATTTTCATATAAAATATGACTTTTTCAGCATTTGCCGTCCCGGTTTTACACGTGATGACTTTATGACCACACCCAAAATGCCTACCTACCTCTTAGCTTTTATTGTCTCGAATTTGGTGAAATCACATTATTCCGATCACGATGCCAATTTGGTGCCGCGTGTGGAAATCTGGACCCGACCCGAGAGTCGTGACATGACGCCCTATGCCTATTCGTTGGTGCGCAAATTCCTGCCCTTCTACGAGGGTTATTTTGGTATTAAGAATCGTTTGCAGAAAATCGATATGGTAACGGTGCCCGATTTTGGTTTTGGTGCTATGGAAAATTGGGGCTTAATAACATTCAGGTGAGCGGTTTGTGAAGTTACGGAATTGATTTGTACAGTACCAGAGGCTCCCTATACGTTTCGGTAAATAGAAGACCTCCTATAAGTTTTCTAAAGTTATAAGACCTAATAGAAGTCTTATACAGAGAGAAAAGAAGATCTTCTATAGGTCTTCTACAGATAAAAGATCTTCCATCGATCTTCTGCAGATTGAAGATCTTCAATCGATCTTCTACAGAAAGAAGACCTTCTAAAGGTCTTCGATATATAGAAGAATTTCTACAGATCTTGTACATGTCTTCTGTAGGTCTCCTACAGGTTTTCTATGGATACAAGACTTTCTACAGATCTTCCATAAAGAGAAGACATTGTACAGTTTTTCTATTAATGGAAGATATTCTACAAGTCTTCTATAGATAGAAGACCTTCTACAGGTCTTCTATGAATAGAAGACCTACTACAGGTCTTCTATGAATAGAAGACCTTCTACAGGTCTTCATAAACAGAAGACCTTCTACAGGTCTTCATAAACAGAAGACCTTGTACAGGTCTTCTATAGATAGAAGAAATTCTACAGGTCTTCTATAGATAGAAGACCTTCTACATTTTCTATGGATAGAAGACATTTTACAGGTCTTCTATGGATAGAAGACCTTTTACAGATCTTCTATGGATAGAATACCTTCTATATGTCTTCTATGGAAAGAAGACCTTCTGTAGGTCTTCTATGGATAGAAGAACTTTTGCTGACCTATATAGGTGTTTTTATAAGAAGCATACCTTCTACCGGTCTTCTATGGAAAAAATACCCTCTACAGATCTTCTATGTATTGAAGACCATATACAGGTCTTCTATGAATAGAAGACAATCTTCAGGTCTTCTATGCATAGAAGACCTCCACCATGTCTTTTATGGATAGACGATCTTCTATAGGTCTCCTAGAACACTTCCCAAAGTTTTATCTGTACGGTTCCTATATTTCTTTTACTTCCTCCTTGACAGAAGACCTTCTACAGGTCTTCTATAAACAGAAGACCTTCTACAGGTCTTCTATGGATAGAAGACCTTCTGCTGAACTATATAGGTGTTTTTATAAGTAGCATACCTTCTACTGGTCTTCTATGGAAAAAATACCCTCTACAGATCTTCTATGTATTGAAGACCATATACAGGTCTTCTATGAATAGAAGACAATCTTCAGGTCTTCTATGCATAGGAGACCTCCAGCATGTCTTTTATGGATAGACGATCTTCTATAGGTCTCCTAGAACACTTCCCAAAGTTTTATCTGTACGGTTCCTATATTTCTTTTACTTCCTCCTTGACAGAAGACCTACAGGTCTTCTATAATCAGAAGACCTTCTACAGGTCTTGTATGGTTAGAAGACCTTCTACAGGTCTTCTATGGTTAGAAGACCTTCTACAGGTCTTTTATGGATAGAAGACATTTTCTATGGATAGAAGACCTTTTACAGATGTTCTATGGATAGAATACCTTCTATATGTCTTCTATGGAAAGAAGACCTTCTATAGGTCTTCTATGGATAGAAGACCTTCTGCTGACCTATATAGGTTTTTTTATAAGAAGCATACCTTCTACCGGTCTTCTATGGAAAAAATACCCTCTACAGATCTTCTATGTATTGATGGCCATATACAGGTCTTATAGAAGACAATCTTCAGGTCTTCTATGCATAGAAGACCTCCAGCATGTATTTTATGGATAGACAATCTTCTATAGGTCTCCTAGAACACTTCCCAAAATTTTATCTGTACGGTTCCTATATTTCTTTTACTTCCTCCTTGCCTTCTTTTTCTGTACAGTACTTCTAAATTCTCTTTATTTTTCCTACTTTCAGAGATTCCTCGCTCTTGGTACCAGCCGATTTAGAGAAAGCCTCCTCCTCCGAACACATGGAATATGTTGCGCAAATTGTTGCCCACGAGCTGGCCCATCAATGGTTTGGCAACTTGGTCACACCCAAATGGTGGGATGATCTATGGTTGAAGGAAGGATTTGCCTGTTACATGAGTTACATTGCCCTGAATAGTGTTCATCCGGAATTTGAAATTATGGACACATTTACGGTGTTCGAATTCAAAGAGTCAATGCAACATGATTCCGACAACAGTTCCCATCCCATATCGTTCAATGTTAAATCGACCAATGACATACGTCGTATCTTTGATCCCATCACCTATTCCAAGGGTACCATACTGTTGCGCATGCTCAACTCCATTGTGGGCAATGAGGCATTCCGTGATGCCACGCAGGATTTGTTGAACAGCTTTGCCTATGGCAATGCTGATCGTGATGACCTATGGGAATTTATGACCAAACATGGTCATTTGAAGAAAACCCTACCGGAACACATGGACATTAAGACGATTATGGATACATGGATCTCGAAGCCCGGTTATCCGGTCATCAATGTGGAGCGACACAATGCCGATTTGATAATTACCCAAGAACGTTATATTTTACCCTCACGTGATATGGCCGATGACAGCAAATGGATTGTGCCGATAACATTTGAAACGAATGAGGTGCGCACTGGCCACACCATACCCACCCATTGGCTAATGGATAATGGTCACGAATTGGTGATCAAAGATGTCTTCACATCGGACAACAACACCAATGACATTGTCTATTTGAATTTGAATCGTCAGGGATATTATCGGGTCAATTATGATTTGGTTTCGTGGTTGGCATTGAAAAAGGAATTTGCCAATTTGCCGCGCGTAACCAGGGCCCAGTTGCTGGACGATGCCTTCCATTTGGCCCAGGCTGAGTACTTAACCTATGACATACCGTTGACATTCCTTATGGAGATTTTCACATCCATCGATGATGAGCTGCTGTGGTCGTCGGCCCAACAGGGTTTGAACTATTTGATACACATGATGAGCCGTGAACCGGGGTATGAAACATTTAGGGTGAGTGAAATTCGGATCTTTATATATTTTGTTTTTTTTAATCATTAACTTTTTCTTTGCAGGCCTTTATGAAGTTCATGGTGCGCCCGGCCTTTGACCAGTATGGTCTCCAGGAACCCGATAATGAATCACATATCCAGTTGCAGCATCGAGCATTGGTTGCCAAATTAGCTTGTAAATTTAAATATGATCGCTGTTACAACATTGCCCACACCAAATACAGGGAATGGATGCAAAATCCCAATTTTAATCGGTAAGCTTGGGGAGGATGCGAAGAAAAGCATATTCGTCACAATCAACAAAAAATTGTTACAAAAAAATTCGAGTAGAAAGTAGAACTAAAAATAGAAGACATATGTACCGGCGTTCTTAATCCGTTTGTAACACCTAGAAATATACATTTTAGACCCAACAAAGTATTCTTGATCAGCATAAAATTCTATGTCGATTTAGCGATGTCCGTCCGTCTATGGAAATCACTCTAGCTTCCGAACGAAATGAAGTAAGTTGATAAAATTTTACTCAAATGTATATTAGGTCTGTAGGACTTTTGGTATTGAAAATGGGCCATGTGGGTACACGTTTTTGTATAGCCCCCATATAATTGTACCTCCCTATTTTCGGTATTTTGGTGATTAAAACGATATTATTCACCGGAAATGTTTCAAATTTTGTATTTGAAGTTCGTAATGGATACTACAGCCTATGACAAAAAATTGTCTGTGCAGCTCCACGTCTTCGTATAGCCTCCATATAACAGTACCTCCCGATATTCGGTATTTTAATTATTTTAGTGACATTATTCAACGGAATTGTTTCAAATTTGGTATTTGAAGTTCGTAATGGATGCTACAGCCTATGACAAGAAATTGTCTGTGCAGGTCCATGTCTTCGTATAGCCTCCATATAACGATACCTCCCGATATTCGGTTTTTTATGATTTCAGCGACATTATTCACTGGAATTGTTTCAAATTTGGTATTTGAAGTTCGTAATGGATAATACAGCCTATGACAAAAAATCGTCTGTGCAGGTCCACGTCTTCGTATAGCCTCCATATAACAGTACTTCTCGATATTCGGTATTTTGATGATTTTAGCTACATTATTCACCGGAGTTTTTTAAAATTTGGTATTTGAAGTTCGTAATAAATATTACAGCCTAAGACAGAAAATTGTCTGTGCAGATCACGTCTTCCTATAGCCTCTATTAACGGTGCCTCCCGACATTCGGTATTTTGATTATTTTAGTGACATTATTCAACGGAATTGTTTCAAATTTCGTATTCCAAGTTCATTGCGGATACTACAGCCTATGATAGAAAATTCTCTGTGCAGGTTCATGTTTTGGTATAGCCCCCCTATAATAGTACCTCCCTATATTCGGTACTTTGAAGATTTTAGCTAAATTTTCCACCGATTTTTTTTTTAATTTCGCATTTGAATTTTGCAATGAGTTATGACAAAAATTGCCTATGCAGGTCCTGATTTTTGGAGGGTATTCAAAGTTCGGGCCGGTCGAACTTGGAGCATTTTTACATGTTCAAAATTTTAAATTTCGTAATATTTATATGAGAAGTAGTTCAGATGCGAGGTGGTCAATATTGGCCCACTTTTGAAGATATTGATCCCAAAGCTGTTGAATTTTCAATACACAAACGCAGTTTAGTACCTTTTAGTGCGAGTTTCCAAAAAGTTAAAAAAACGTGAAATATGTGGCTAAGATGATCAAAATGTCGAATATCGGGAGGTACCGTTATATAGGCGTTATGAGAATGTTTTAACCTATGTAAACAATGTTCTTCTAACAAAACCCACTATGAACTACAAATACAAAATTGTAGACAAATGCGTTAGAAAATATGGCTTAAATCGTCAAAAACAGAAAATCGGGAATTACCGTTATATGAGGGCTATACCAATTTGTGGACCTGAAACAAGCATTTTTTGCAAAGAGAGAAAAGACCTACAGAGAACCCCAATTGTGAAGTTTCATCTAATTTGGCTGGAAATTGTGGTAGAAACCATTAAATTACCGAAAATCGGGAGGTATAGTTATAGTGGACCTGTTTTTTTTTTTTTTTTGCTAGGAGAGAACAGACATACCCCGGACGTTAATTGTCAATTTTAGGCTAATTTGTTTGGAAATTGTGGCAGAAGCCTTCAAAACAGCGAACATCGGGAGGTACAGTTTAAATAGGGGCTATACCAGTTGGTGGACCTGAATCAAGTATTTTTTGCAAGGCGAGAACAGACCTTTCTAGAACCCCAAATGTCATGTTTAAACTGATTTGGTTGGAAATTGTGGCAGAAACTTTCAAAATATTGAAAATCGGGAGGTACCTTTATATGGGGGCTCTACTAAATAGTGGAGAGAACAGACCTTTCAAGAATCCCAAATATAAAGTTTCAGCTGAATTGTCTGGATATTGTGGCAGAAATTGTTGAAATACCGACAATCGGAAGGTTCGGTTGTGCGACGGCTATACCAATTAGTAGCTATACAAATCGAACATTTTTTTCAAGGAAAGAACAGACCTTTCAAGGACCCCAAATGTCAAGTTTCTGCTGATTTGGTAGTAAATTGTTACCGAAACCTTTGAACTACCGAAGATCGGGAGGTACCGTTATATGTGGAGCACACCAATTTGTGGACCTTTAGCGAACAATTTTTGCAAGGAGAGAACAGATCTTTCAAGAACCCAAAATGTCAAGTTTCGGCTAATTTGGCTTGAAATTATAGCAGAAACCTTAAAAATACCGAAAATCGGAAGTTATCGTTAAATGGGGGGTATACCAATTAGCGGACTTGAGTCGAAATTTTTTTGCAAAGCGAGAATAGACCTACCTAGAATCCCGAATGTAAAGTTTGAGCTAATTTGATGGGAAATTGCGGCAGAAACTTTCAATATATTGAAAATCTGGAGGTACCATTATATGGGGGCTATACTAAATATTGAACTTTTGCCGAATATTTTTTGCAGGTAGAGAACAGACCTTTCAAGAACCCCAAATATCGAATTTTAGCTGATTTGGTTGGAAATTGTGGCAGAAATTTTCAAAATACCGAAAATCGGGAGGAACAATTATATGGGGGGCTACACGTAAACGTATACCAATATAGCCCATTTTCAATACCAATCAGCCTGCATATAATATATACCTTTGGGCCAAATTTCAAAGCTTCAGATTGAATAATGTGGACTCTGTCGTGATTTCAACAGATAGACAGTCGGACGGACGGACAGAAAGACAGACGGACATCGCAATTTTATTCTAATCAGGAATATATACCCTGCGGGACTTTTTTCAACTAGTTGAGAAAATCGTTAGTTATAAATGCATTATTCTACAGGGTATATGCGTTTTGGGTTCTCCGACGAATATTTCAAGGTATTTCAAACGGAATGACGAATTTCATGTACCCTCCATTGTATGGTGGAGGGTATAACAAATGTGGAACGCCTCATATGCTCTACAAAAAGAGCTTTAGGTCTACATCAGAGCTTTACCTTTTAAAAGCTTCTATAATTTTAACATAACTTTTAATAATATGTGAATTACCCTGTTACGAGACTAAACACTTAACACATACTTCCCATAATCACAGAGCCTTGGGTTCAAATCCCGTAAAGAGCAAACTATTTTTTTTTATTTTATTATTATTTATTTATTTATTTTATTATTATTATTATTATTATTATTATTATTATTATTATTATTATTATTATTATTATTATTATTATTATTATTATTATTATTATTATTATTATTATTATTATTATTATTATTATTATTATTATTATTATTATTTATTATTTATTTTTTTTTTGGAAATATTTTTTTAATTATATTTTTATCAAAATAAACTCCCATGTAATAAATTTAACTCATTTTACTGCTTACATACTCCTTATGTAATAATTATCTCCTTCCTTTTTCTGTATTATTAAAAACCTTTTTTTTAATTTTCCTTATAGCATCACACCCAACATGAAATCAATTATCTATTGTACTGCCATGGAGGAGGGTTCCTTCCAAGAATGGCATTTTGCCTATAAACAATACAATCGTACCACAAGTGCCTCAGAAAAAGAACAGATCTTATCATCGCTGGGTTGTACAACGAAACCATGGTTGTTATCCAAGTAAGTAACGCAAATTAAAAAATTTATTTTATTAAAAAAATATTTAAAATAACAAATATTTACAAAAAAAAAATAAATAAAAAGTTCAACCAGGTTCTACCGAGATTTGAACTCGGATCGCTGGATTCAAAGTCCAGAGTGCTAACCATTACACCATAGAACCGCATAACAGCCGATGTACCAAAATATAGTTTCGTAATTTTGTATTGAGCATTTGTGTGTGTGTTTATACTCGCACGCATTAACGTCTGTTTTGTTTTAAAATATATTCACCCCATTCACATCCGCATTGTTAAAAAATAACTTGTTTTTCTTCCATTGCAGATATTTAAATATGACACTCAACTCCACCCTTATTATGAAACAGGATGGCGCCCGTGCATTTAGAGCTGTTGCCGAAAATCCAATTGGTTTTGAAATTGCTTTTGATTTCTTGCAGACGAACATTAAGGAAATAGCCGAATAGTAAGTAGATATTTTTGTTCGTGAAAAACTTTTAGAATATGCTAGAGGATATAAAAAAGAGAATTTGTCAAATAGCCACAATTTTGGATTTATTTTAAGAAGGTTTTCAAAGATTTTTAAAATGTTTCCATTTCATTCCAAAAGACCACAATTGTCGATCTCTGCAAAGCTTCTTATCGTAAATTTAATTTAAAACCAGTAAGGAAAGGTCAAAAGTCGGGCAGGGCCGACTATATGATACCCTACACCACTATGCGCTTGGGAATTTGTGTGAAGTAGATCATACTAACTACGAACTTTAGAGTAGTCACAATTTGGAAAGTCTGAATCGATTTTCAACAAATTTGACCGAGGCTGTTGTACCTATTTTGGAGCAATATACAGGGTGAGATAAAAAACTGCAACAAACTCAAACGCCATAATTTTCACATTTTCTTTTAAATTTTATTGAATGAAAGCAAACCAGTAAAGAAAGTCCTAAAGTCGAGCGAGGCCGACTTTATGATACCCTACACCGCTTTGCTAATTTAGTGGAGCTTCGCATAACAATTAAAAGTTTTTATGTGAGAATTCAATCATACACGCTATGATTATAATTATAATTTCAAAAGTTCAAAAGACCAAATATGCCGAAGCATTTGTATCTTTTAAATTCGGACTTGTATTGCCCATTTGGTGCACAATTAATTTGAAATCGGGTAAAAATATATATGGGAGCTAAATCCAAATCTGAACCGATCTCGATAAAATTTGGCAAAGATATTTCTGAGCTGTATTTGATATATTTCCCTGAATATCGTTGTTACGGAGTGCATATTACGGCTGTGGGTAACAAATATAACAAATCGGATGAACAGTATATATGGGAGCTATAGCTATATCTGAACCGATCTTCACCAAATTTGACATACTAGCTTCTAGACCCAATTCGGTAGTAAGCGCCAAATTCCATCCAATTTGGACAAATATTAGACGTTTGGTGCACAATAAATGGTAAATCGGATGAAGTTATATATGGGAGCTATATTCACATCTGAACCGATCTTGATAAAATTTGGCACAGATATTTCTGAACTGTATTTCATATATTTCCCTGAATATCGTTGTTAATGAGTGCATTTTAAGGCTGCGGAGGACAAAAATAACAAATCGGATGAACAATATATATGGGAGCTATAGCTATATCTGAACCGATTTCGATCAAATTTAGCATACTTATTTTCAGGTCCAATCTGATCGTATGTGCAAAATTCCATACTATTCGAACTGATATTACACGTTTGGTGCACAATAAAAGCCAAATCGGACGAAGATATATATGGGAGCTACATGTAAATTTTAACCGATTATCTCCAAATTTCAATAGGGTCCGTCCTTGGGCCAAACAAATGATTTGTGCAAAATTTCATCTGGATAGGGCAATAAATGCGAACTGTACTTTGTTTACAAAAATACGTGGACAGACGGACGGACGAACGGACATGCATAAATCGACTCAGAATGTGATTCTATGCAGATCATCAAAAGGAACTATGGGTCTATCTCGTTTCCTTTTGCCTGTTATAAACATATGCACAAAGACATTATACCACCTTGTGGTGTAGGGTATATAAATGCCGGAAATAGGTTGAGATTAAAAAACTGCAATAAAGTCAAATGCCATAATTTTAATTTTTTTTTTTTTTTCAATTTTATTAATTTGTTCGAATTGGTCACCTTTGGCCTTCAAACTGCCAATGAAACCGTCACACGCTGCCCGAATGTTGCTCTGCGGTATTTTGGCTCATTCCCGGCGAAACGCTTGCTTGAGGTGAGCGACACTTTGGTATTTTTTAGTGCCAACCTTGCTTTCCAAAATACTCCAGCCACAATAGTCCAACGGATTGGTATCCCGAGATTTTGGTAGCCATTGTGCGCTAGAAACGAAGCGTGGAACCTAATTTTGTAACCATTCTTGGGTGGCGCGTGCTGAATGCAATGGTGCTGAGTCCTGTTGGAATGTCCAAGGTCTGCGGCCAAAATTTTTGCGTGCCCAAGGCTTTAATACAACCTCCAGAATATTTTCCCGATAATATTCGGTCGATTAATACAAGCGGGCACTACCATCGGCTGTTATGGCGGCGCACCAGATTATTTTGGCGATAATTTCGGTTGATTGATACGAGCGGAGAGCAACATCTGCTGTTATGGCGGCCCACACCATCACCATGGCCGGCGCTTGAGTTCTGGTGGCCAACCGAAGGTGCACATTTTTAGCTGACCTCTTTGGCGAGTAAACACGATCATTTTGTTTGTTCACTGGGCAACGAATGTTTTCTCATCGGAGAAAACCAAATTCGGCACTTTACCATTTTCGGTCATGCGAAGCCATCCTTTAGCTCTTTGGAGTCCACTTTCTTTCTGTTGCGGTGGAAGTACTTGCACTTTTTGGAATTTCAATGGCTTTACCCCGAGCTCATTTTTCAATATTTGCCGAATCGCATATTGCGATATGTTCAGCTCACGAGCCATTTTTCGGCCACTGCGACGCAGGTTTCGATCAAGTCGCTTCTTTACTTTTCGAACCATTTCTGCTGATGTTGCTGTTTTCTACCATCCACTTTCTTGACGTCGGGCTACGCTACCAGTATCACGGTAACGAGCGATGGTAGGAGACACAAAAGATTTATTCATATTTAAATGCTGGGGTGCTCTAACGATAGCCACTTGTGGTTTTCCAGTCTGAAGTTGGTTGTAGTTTCTTTTTATCTCACATGAATAATAATGGTAAAATCGGACAAAGATGTATATAGAAGGTATTTAAAAATCGGAACGGATCTCGATTAAATTTGGCAGAGGTATTTGTGAGCTGTATCTGATTCCAGTATAAAATATCATTGGTATGGAGTGCCTATACATGTCGGAGACTTAAAAATCCGAATCGGATGAAACATAAATATGGGAGCTATAGCTATATATGAACCGATTTTCACCAAATTTGATGTACTTGCTTCTAGAGTGAATTCGGTCGGATGTGCCAAAATTCAGGTAATTTGGACTTGTATTTATCATTTGGTGCACAATTAATTGTTGAAGATATAAATGGGAGCCATATTTAAATTTGAACCGATTCTCATCAATTTCAATAGGGTTCGTCCTTGAGCTAAACAAATATTGTTAGGAAAATTTCATATTAATCGTATAATAAATGCGACCTGTAGTTTGTTCACAAGAAGATCCACAAAAGTAACTATGGGTCTATCTCGCTTCCTTTTTCATGTTACCAGCAAATGCCAAAACACATAATACCCTTATAGGGCATAAAAATTAAAGATCAACAACTAGTTTTTTTTTTTTTTTTTTGGATCCACAGCCATTTTCTAATCTCTCTTTTCTTCCATTTTATCCATTTCAGCTTCGGTGATGGTTTCTCCACATTGACATCAATGGTGAAATCGATAACCACCTACATGAGCAAAGAATACCACAAAGAGCAGCTGGAACGTTTCCGTGAAAAGGCGAAAGGTCTGGGTCTACAGGCTGTGGTGACAGCAATCGATTTGGCCATGGAACAGGTCAATAATAATATTTATTGGCGTAATCGTTCCTACTACAGTCTCAAGTCATTTATCGACATTATTGTGGAAGATTTTGAAATTCCAATTTTCTAAAGAGGAGAGTCGTCGTCGTCATCATTGCCAACGAAAACACTTCACACACATATACACACACATACACACAAACACATATACATCTTTACATAAACGATCTTTAAATTAAAAATAAATAACATAAAACACATACTTACATTACATGAATATGTTTTTATAGTTTTATAAGTTCAAAAAAGAAAAGAAGAAGAAAATCAATGAAATTTAAGTATTTGTTTGCAAACAACTCAAAGATTAAGAAGAGAAGAAAAGAATTGATAGTTTAAAAAAAGAAACTAAGAAAACGAAAACCAATCAATCACCTTTTTGTATAGAAATGAAATATTTTTTGTTTTTGATTTTGAAAACATTTCTTCAAAACTTTCTGTTATTACAAATTTAATTTGCAAACAAAAAGTGATATAATTTTAGTTTTTAATTTAATCACGATTTACAATTTAGTATTGAGCTTTAAAGCTAATTTTTAATTATAACGAACATTACATACATATACATGTTTTTTTTTTATTTAAATTTATTCTAATGCGATTTTATTTGATTTGTATTGTGTCCTGTTTTTGCGGAGCGTAGATTCCCCGGATATATTATTTATTTTATTTTTGTTTTTTATTTTTTTTTAATGTATAGAATCTGTGCTATATGTAAATTTAAAATATTACGATTATTATTTTTTTAATATAATTTTAAGTATTGTTCCTATATAACAAAGAAATAAAATGAAATGATAATTGTTAAGAGCTTAGAAATAAAGTGAGATAAAACAAAAAAACATTTGCGATGAATTATTTTATTTTTTGTTTAAGATATAAAAGGTTTGAAAAAATTACATGCAAAAAATACAAAAAAAAAAGGCAGTTGCAAAAAAATCGGCTCAGTATTTGGTGATTTATTGAGAATTTCAAGTCCAAGTGGAAATTTTGAATTTTTTATTAAAATTTTGCAATATAATTGAAGTTGTTTTTAATTTATTTTATATTCATTTAAATAATTTAACTAATTACAAGAAAAACCCGGCAGATTATCAAAGTAGAGCTAACAAGTAAAAAGCTGTAATTTCGGCTGGGCAGAACTTTGAATACTTTCCACGATTTGGAAATTTTCAAAAAAAAAAAAAAAAATCGGTTGAAATCTAAAAAAATACCGAATTTCACCGTTATATTAGGATCTATATGAAAACGTGGACCTGCACGAAAAATTTTCTGTCATAGACATAAAATTTTCATAAAATTATCAAAATAACGAATATCGATTATATTATGGGACCTATACCAAAAGGTTAACCTGCACAGACAATTTTCTGTCTAAGACTATAGTATCCATTACGAACTTCAACTACCAAATTTGAAACAATTCTGGTGAATAATGTCGCTAAAATCATCAAAATACCGAATATCGGGAGCTACCGTTATATGGGGGCTATACGAAGATGTGGACCCGCACAGACAATTTTCTGTCTAAGACTGTAGTATCCATTACGAACTTCAACTACCAAATTTGAAACAATTCCGGTGAATAGTGTCGCTTAAATCATCAAAACACCGAATATCGGGAGGCACCGTTATATGAAATCGGCCGAAAATATATATGGAAGCTATATTCAATCGATTTCAATATAGTTGGCAAATTCCAAATTTCATTGAATTAGAGATACGTAGCGTGTTTGCTGCATCAAATACTACATGAAATCGATCGAAAATTAAATGGGAGCTATATCCAAATCTGAACCGATCTAGATAAAATTCGGCAAACATATTTCCGAACTGTATTTGATATATTTCCCCAAATATTGTTGTTGCAGAGTGCATATTACGGCGGCGGTGGACAAAAATAGCAAATCGGATGAACAATATATATGGGAGCTATAGCTATATCTGAACCAATTTGGCACACATATTTCAGGCCTAATTTGGGTGTATATGCAAAATTCCATACAATTCGGGCTGATATTACACGTTTGGTGCACAATAAAAGGCTAATCGGACGAAGATATATATGGGAGCTATTTCTAAATTTTTACCGATTATCTCCAATTTCAATAGGGTTCGTCCTTGGGCCAAACAAATAATCTGTGCAAAATTTCATCTGGATCGGGCAATAAATGCGACCTGTACTTTGTTTGCAAAAATACATGGACAGACGGACGGACGCATAAATCGACTCCGAATGTGATTCTATGCAGATCATCAAAAGGAACTATGGGTCTATCTCGTTTCATTTTGCCTGTTACAAACAAATGCACAAAGACATAATATCCTGACCACCTTGTGGTGTAGTTTTCAGCCATATTTTGAAGAAAGGACCAACATTAATTCTTTGGATACTCACTGGAGGGTTATAATATGCGATAGTCCTCGTATTGTTATACCCTCCACCATACATAGTATAGGGATATAATAAGGTATATTAAGTTCGTCATTCCGTTTGTAACGTATAACTCATCGAAATGATAATTTTAGACCTAACTAAGCTAAATCGTCTTAGAATCATCACGAATATATATATATATATATATATATATATATATATATATATATATATATATATATATATATATATATATATATTCGTGATGATTCTAAGACGATTTAGCTTTCGTAATAACGCTAGAGTCAAAACGAATAAAGAAAGGCATCTAAAATTTGGCACCGATCTGTATTTTGTCTGCAGGCAGGTCAATTTCGAAGATGGGCTATATCGGTCCACGATAGCATGTAGCACCCATATAACGGTACCCCCTATGTTCGGTATTTTGATGATTTTAGCTCCCTCTTTTAATTTAATTCTCTGAAAATCCACACAAGGAGTTCCTTCTGAGTACTGAGTACCCCCTAGAAGGTACTCTCCGATATTCGGTATTCTTATGATTTTTGGAACATTATTCACCGGAATTGTTTCAAATTTCGTATTTAGAGCTCGTAATGAGTACTACAGCCTATGCAGGCCCACATATCGGTACCTCTTTATATTCGGTATTTTGATGATATTAGCGACATTATTCAGTGTAATTGTTCCAAATTTCGGATTTGAAGTTAGTTATGGGTGCTACAGTTTTACGCCTTCGTACAGCCACCATATAACGGCACCTCCCGATATTCGGTACTTTGATGATTTTAGGGACTTTATTCACCGGTACTATTTCCAATTTCGCATTTTGAGTTCCTAATGCGTACTACAGCCCATTGAAAAAAAATTACCTCTTCGTATTGCCCCCATATATCGGTATCTCCCTATTTCGGTATTTTAATGATTTTAAGGACATTATTCAGTGGAATTGTTCCAAATTTCGGATTTTCGTTTTGGGTGCTACAGTCTATGACAGAAAATTGTCTATTCAGGTGCAAGTCTTCCTATAGCCCCAATTTATCGTTAGCTCCATATATTCGGTATTTTGATGATTTTAGCAGCATTATTCGTCGGATTTGATTAAAATTACCTATTTGAAGGTCCTAATAGATCCAGATCTTCGTATTGACTTAACAGAATTTTTAACGTATTTTATTCATTTATTTATTTATTTTTTTTTTTTGTTTTTTGAAAATTTCCAAATTCGTTCTAAATAATGGAGAGTATTCAAAGTTTGGCTCAGCCGAACTTACTACTTTTTTATTTGTATTTTTTACTAATATCTTCAGAGACATATTTTTAAAATGAATGGTTTACAAGGAATATCAGTTGTAACATTTCAAAAAAATGTGGAAGTCGGGGAACTTTTCGATGTTGCCTTACAAAAACGGATACACCTGACTTTTATTTTAAGCTCCAATTTCATAATCCGCTGAGTTTTTCCTATAATTATTTTTTGTGTTGCACATTTTTTCAGTCGCAAAAAAAATTCCGCTAGCAGCTTACAAAAAAAGCCTTATATAATTAATTAAGCTTAGTGTCCTTAGAATCCTTTAAGGCTAATTATAAGAATGTCCAGTGTACGAATAAGAGATAATAAATAATTAAATCAACCAGCAATGGTCAGACATAGGTTAAGAGTGTCTGGATGTATAGAACGCAGTACTATTTTCTTATCAATATTGAGGGAATGTATTTTTCATAAAAAAACATTTATTTTTGAAGCTTTTCAATTTAATTTATACATATGTGTTTCCAAAGGGTTATATATTTAATATATGCTAAAAATCAATGTGAATCATCAATCATTTTTAATTAATGCAACATTACATTTAATATATCTACGTATCTATCTCTCTAATAACTCTGGCCCTTTTCTAAGCAAATAATAATTTAAAAAAATATATTTTAAGAAAAATGTGAAACAAGATTTTATCTATAAGAGAAAATTCAATGTAGTTGTTGAAGAAATAAATTGAAAATTAACAAACATATTCTCTTTTTTGATGCAAATTTTCGACTTGATAAATTTTTATACCCTCCACAATACTATGGAGGGTATATTAATTTTGTCATTCCGTTTGTAACTCCTCGAAATATTCATGTCAGACCCAACAAAGTATATATATTCTTGATCAGCGTAAAATTCTAAGACGATTTAGCCATGTCCGTCTGTCTGTCTGTTGCAATCACGCTATCTTTCGAACAAATTTAGATAGAAGACTAAAATTTCGCACACATGTATATTTTCCCAGTAGGCAGGTTAAGTTCGTAAATGGGCCATGTAGGTCCAAATTATCATATAGCCCCCATATAACGGTACCTCCCGATATTCGGTATTTTGATGATTTTAGCGACATTATTCTCCGGAATTCTTTCAAATTTGGCATTTAAAGTTCGTAATGGATACTACAGCCTAAGACAGAAAATTATCTGTGCAGGTCCACGTCTTCGTATAGCCCCCATATAACGGTACCCCCCGATATTCTGTTTCTTGATGATTTTAGCGACATTGTTTACCGGAATCGTTTCAAATTTGGTATTTGAAGCTCGTAATGGATACTACATCCTAAAACAAAAAATGAGCCATGTAGGTCCACGTCTTCATATAGCCCCCATACAACGGTACCCCCCGATATTCGGTATTTTGATGATTTTAGCGACATTGTTTACCGGAATCTTTTCAAATTTGAAGTTCGTAATGGATACTTCATCCAAAGTCAAAAAATGAGCCATGTAGGTCCACGTCTTCATATAGCCCCCATATAACGGAAGGATTATATTAAAACAAGTAAAAAAGAAGCTAAGTTCGGCTGGTCTGAGCTTAAAAAAATCGAAATAGACCGCTCAAATGAAAACCCTTATATGGGGGCTATACGAAGACGTGGTCCTGCATAAGTTATTTGTGTCATAGGCTGTAGTAACTGTTCCGAATTTTATATACGAAATTTGAAACAGAAATCTTCGCAAAAATCATCAAAATACCGCATATCGGAAGGTAACGTTATGTAGGGGATTTATGATATCGTGGACCTATGCAGACAATTCTCTTCCAAGGGGGTAATGTACTCACAAGGAACTCCTTTTGTGTATTTTAAGACAATTCCATTGAAAAATGTGGCTAAAATCATCAAAATACCGAATATCAGGGGGTACTGCAGACAAAAGACAGATTTATGCAAAATTTTAGATTCTTATATTAATTCGTTTTGAATGTAGCGTGATTTCAACAGACGGTCGGACGGACATGACTAAATCGTCTTAGAATTATACGCTGTTCATGATTATATATACTTTGTTAGGTCGAAAATTATTATTTCGATGAATTACAAATGGAATGACGAACTTAATATACCCTCCATACTATGTATG